TAATCTAATCTAATCTAATCTAATCTAATCTAATCTAATCTAATCTAATGAAATCCAACTGCTTTTGCCCCAGTTTCTTGAATTCATGAATTGCTCTCTCTATACAGGTAGTCCTATACTTACGGTCACAACTGAGCCCAAAATTTCTGTTGCCAAGTGAAACATTTGTTAAGTGAGTTTTGCCCCATTTTATAACCTTCCCTGCCACAATCACTAAGCGAATCGTTGTAGTTGTTAAGTTAGTGACACAATTAAATGAATCTGGCTTCCCCACTGACTTTGCTTGTCAGAAGGCTGCAAAAGGGAATCATGTGACTTTGGGACACAGCAACCGTCCTGAATATTAGTTGCCAAGCATCTGAATTTTGATCATGTGACCGCAGGGAGGCTTCCAATGGTCGTAAATGTGAAAAATGGTTATAAGTCACTTTTTTCAGTGCCGTTGTAACTTCGAACAGTCACTAAACAAATCGTTGTAAGTCGAAGACTACCTGTCCTTTTCCAGTTCTTGAACCAGCTTTTACTATTTGGTTACAGAAATATTTTCTCTCCGCACACTTAGCCCATAGAAACTTGGGGAGGGAGACACACACTTCCTTGCTGGGGAACATGTTCCCGGTCTAAGCTATATGGGGGGGAAGGGAGAGAGGAGAAATGAAGAGACTGTACAAAGGCTGTTATCGATTGCCATCCTTGTAAACCTACACACACCTCCAGTTCTAAAAGAACCCAGTCTAGGTACTAGGTTACTAATGGTCCATAAATGTTCATATATAGCAGAGGTCCTCAAACTTGACAGCTTTAAGACTTGTGGACTTCAACTCCCAGAATTCCTCCTCCAGTCATGTTAGCTCAGGAATTCTGGAGTTGAAGTCCACAAGTCTTAAAGCTGTCAAGTTTGAAGATCCTTGATATATAGCAATGCACACAGTTCTCACAAATCTTTCAAACAGCGATTAGATTGTACACTTTAGACTGCAGACAGATCTCATCTAAATGAGATCTGCATTAAATACTAGATGTCAGAAGAATGTTATCCTAGATTTTTAGTTCATTTAGTAATGTAAGATCACACCTGCACTTAAAAAAGAAAGACATCTGAAGTGCAGATTAATCAGATGAGTATTACGTTTATATGTATCCCAGATAGAAAAAAATGGGGTGGGGTGGAGATAGATACTTCCCCCAGCTATGATAGCAAACTTCTTAATTTAGTAATTGGGGAAAAATGATTTTGTCTCAAATTATATCTTTTATTATAAATACACCACAAAATATTACAATAAAATAAACACATTTCATTTGTGTTGCTCCAAATTAAGTTATGCAAGCTTAAGATTGATAGCTAAAGCAAATGTTTTAATGAAGACATGGAAAGTGAAATTCATAGAAGGGAACCTGCTAATATTACCACTTACTTTAATCACTTCACAAGCCATTGCGTGTGTAACATTAATGCTGCGAGCAAAGCATTCTCTTGCTTCTGATAATTTCCCTTCACGGAGCAGCTGTTTCCCTTTTAGGAGATTTGTTTGTCGTTTTCTTCAAAATAACGTAACAAGTACAATGTTTCAGAGTCTCACATTCATAACAAGTAAGCAGACTATTGTGCTATTCTCTCCAAAAACATTCTTACATTTTTTTAGATTTATTATATAAAAACTTAACAATCAGATATAAAAGACAACAATAGTCAACAATATAAAGTCCAGTAATATGTTCATTACTATTATTATTAGCATATGGTGTTGTTACATTAGACAGAAGACCATAATACAATTGCAGAGTAATAGTTTGGCTGCCAGTTTACCAGGTCTATTGTAGGACAAGGTGCACCACAGAAAGTCTTTATACCAGAAAGAAAGATGAGTGGCTTTTCCTGCAGCATCATACGTAGCCCGCTCCAGTTACCTCACAAATGAATGCCACAATTGGAAAGGTTCAGAGTGGGCAGGAATTTGACTGCCTGCATGAAGCACCAACTGGTGATGGAATCTCAACCTGACATGAAGTGTTATGACTTGTATTGGAGCAGAGACCAACTCCAGTGTCAGGTCATTAAGCCACTGAGTCATCACAGCTCTTGTTCATTGTTATTACTTAATAATAGTAGGGAGATACATACACATGTTTCCCAACTCATATGGATGCCTTGGGGACTTTTCTCTCTCTCTGTAATGCCCAGTCAGAACCAGCCCATTTTGATCTCAATCTTTCTTTTGCTGATTTGCCCCTTCTTACCAAATTTGGTCCAACTTTGTTTTTGAAGCAGTATCCTGCTAGAAAACAAAATCCCAATTTCTTTCCAATATTCTGTTGGGTTGGAAAGATAAAAAAGGAACATTCCCAGCTTCTTAGTATACACAAACATAACTTACTCCCTTCTTGTTTTTTCAACTTCCTTTTTTGAAGGCAGAGTGCATCCATCAAATACCAGAATTGGTTTAACTTCAAATGATAAAAGCATATCAACAAGTTTCATGCAATAAACTACGTATCTGTGGGGGGAAAAAACACCAGCCTCATACATTTGTCATGACATCTTGAAACATAATATATGCCAACTTCCACTTGCAACAACAAAATTGCCACTAGATTAGGATAGCAACAAGATCAGCCATGGCTGCAGTTTATATCACTGTAACTAACTCTATATTTTGTGCTAAGTCAGATACTTAGCTTAAAGAAGTAAATAAAGAATGTCACCTGACTTAATTAATGGTAGTAAACACATCACACTAGAGAAAAATATCTCATCTTGTATATTAATTTAAGAAAAGCCTATGGATTAAAAAAAAGATTATCTTCTTTTCCATTTTTTTTTTAATTTAGGCTGTAATCCTATGCATCTACTGACTATTCATAACTATTTACTATTGCTATTTTTAAATGGGATTTAGAAATCATTTGTTTAACATTATTACAAGCAGTTAAGATGAAAAAGCAATTAAGTTCTGTTATTTTTCTAAGTCCATGCATTTAACAACATACTTAATATGCTCAACTTTCCAATCTTTCTTACTGATGGAGTACATTGGTGGGCAGCATTTAAGCAACTCTCAGAATGAGACCATCTTTCCTGTACAGTGAACTCTATTTCAGATTTAGGATTAAAATTCACAACCTATCAGCCTCAGAAGAGGCCATCAAATCCATTTAAATGCTTAAAGAGATTATAAGGCTGTGCATCTTCAACCCGTGTGCATCTTTCATTTGTAATCCAAAGCACTCTAAGTTTGTGCCAAAAATTTGATGATAAAATGACAGAGGGTTTTTTTTTTTTGTTACCATAATTTTGGGCATGAGAACACATAAAGAAGCATGAAAACTTAAAGGGGTGTGAAAAAGATTAATTGCTGCCCTTTAAATCTGGTAAGAACAGTTAAAAGCATATCATTGAAATCTGGCAGCAAAATCACCAAAGGTTGGCTACTTGAATTTTCATGTGAAATGCTAAAATGCAGAAATATCCAGTTTTAAGCACCCCCAAATCTTTGAAAATGGGTGCGGCCTCCCCGTGATGTCACAAAAAAGCCTTCCGCAGCCTTCCAGCTGGTCTAGAAGCCTGTTAAAACCTGAAGGCTAAAAATGGTTACAGGCTCCCCCTACCACATCTGTAACTATTTTACCACTCCTATCAGTTTAAATAGTTTTGCACATACTGGTTTGTGGCTTCTCCTTTTGCTAGTTTTTCTGCACATGCATAGGCCCCTTTGTGCAGCCAGCAGTAAGTGTCTACAGCAACTACTTGTCCTTTGTACTTCTTTACATGAGTAGGTTCAGCTGCCTCTTTGATAAACTGGAGCAAACCTTGGATCCCCATTGTATCGTATCAGTTGAATTCTGCAAGCAAAGTAAAGAAACACAAAGCCAACAGATTCGTAATTGTTCCTGAGCTGGGGCAGGAAACTTTACAGCACACACATCCATAAGACTTCCAAATAGACCTCTAGCGCAAAAGAGGCTCTATTACACCCTCACCAAGGTGTATTAATTTGATTAATTCTGGGAAATTGTTATCAATAAAATAATATATAAAATAATATTAGTAACTGGCAACTGGTATGTTGTAGCAGGCACCAACAGAACTTGCATTCACATTTACTTGTGCTGAGAATTGTTTTACTTGTGCTGAGAATTGATACATGAGGATTTTGTGATATTAGAATCAACTTTCAGGACAATAGATTGCTACAGGTGCAAGACACATTTCTCTAATTCATAGTTTTCTCTCTTTTCATGTTCTCCAAAATCCTTTGATATAACTTAGTATATGGTGGGGTGGTGGTTAGCAGTAACACAACATCTAAGCAAAGAGCTATTCAACTTATTCGGAAAGCTGCTGAGTAACTGAAGTTGATATTTCTCCCTGCTTCACTATCCTTATCCCACCGATGCCTAAAAGAACCAAAGAACCCTATGCAAGCTTAAACGAAACCTCTAAAATAATACAAATTATTAACCCTTTCTTCAGAAGGAGGGGAGAAAAAAATGTATTAAAGCAGATAAATTCTTTCCTTTGGAGCAGACATCCTCTGCAAGTAGTTTTCAGCAGAACTGCAGATTCTGAAGCAGCAAGCCATGCGCTCTAAAATTTCAGGGGTCTCCAACCTTGGCAACTTTAAGACTTGTGGACTTTCAACTCCCAAAGTTCCTCAGCCAGCTTTGCCAAGGTTGGAGAGCCCTGCAAATGGCGCTGAAAACAATGGACTTAAGGAAGACCTTAGGTCACTAGATAAAAGATTGCAAACTTTTCTTTTTTTTCTTTCTCCCCATCAACTTTCTTTACTCGCGCCATTGACTTCAAAGGACAACCAGCGCTTAATCTCTTTGCATTCAATTGGCGAAAGAGACAAAGCCGCAACTTGTGTGTGTGTGTGTGTGTGTTTTACTAAAACACAGGCAGTGGGTTCTATGTGTAACATCTACAGTAGTTTGGGTTGGAAATATCCCGGGAGGCGATCTCACTGTCCTTTTAATGTAAGGGACGCTATCTCGCCCAGCTCCTGAAGTTTGGGAAACCCAAAGGCCGAGAACGAAAAATGAGGTGCCCGTTCTTGCGCCCCCCCTCCCCCTCCCCCACCACCTCCCGGTACCTGATGTAGGAGCGCAACTGCTGGGATCGGGGCAGCGCCGAACCGTCACCCGGCGACAGACACTTTAAGCCACTCGGCAAAACCAACCCAGCGCGCGAACCTTTCAACCCGCGCGCGTTTCCCAAGCCCCACCCCACCCACGCCCTCGACCCCGCCCACGCCCTCGCGAGAACGAGGGAAAGTCGAGGCGGCGCTAAAAGTCGAAACGAGCCTTGGTGCTCACCGCTCTGCATCTTGGGCGTTGTAGTGCAAGCGTTTTCTTTGCGCGAGGCAGTGGGAGGCGGCTTGGGAGGCTGGATTCTCTCTTTGTAAAGTTATGGCGCGGCTGTTGGTTACTACTGGAGTTCTGTTTAGTTCTGTTAGAACAAGAAATTAAATGCAGATGTCATGTTAATGGGTCGGTATGGCACAATCTCGCTTAGTTTATGGCTTAATATGTGTGAACGTTGGCAGTTGGATTAATTCAGCACAGAAACATTCATTTAGCAAGTGGTGGAAAAGATGTCGTGGATGGACATATTAACCTGATTATTTTATTTTTATCAGTACTGTCATTTTGTGAGCTTTCAATATTTAGTATCGGTATGCCACCTAGAGTCTGCTTTGATCGACCAGTGCAATAGATGAATCTCATAAATAAGCACCCTTCTACCTATTAAATCTACAAACCTCTTGGTAAACTCCAGGAACCAGAAAATCTGGGTGCCTAAATTGGTTAATTGGATAAAGACCAATTTAACGCCTTATTGATTCCCGATAAATGACAGATCAGTGCTTGCCATGCTGATGTATCTGCAGCAACAACCCAATAATTCTTTAAAGGAGAGCCCAATCTCTTTAATTCTGTCCATCCAATTTAGCTCTTCTCTACCCCTTCTGTTCTTCCACAGCCTTGCCAACTTTCTTATCCAGCAACTAGTCAAGCATGTGCCAAAGAATAGAATAGAATTGAATTGAATTCTTTATTGGCCAAGTATAATTGGACACACAAGGAATTTGTCTTTTGTGCATGTGCTCTCAGTGTACATCAAGGAAAAAAATATTCATCAAGAATCATAAGATACAACGCTTAGTGATAGTCATAGGTTACTAATAAGCAATCAAATCATACTAGGAAACAAAACAATATAAATTGTAAAGATATGAGCAACACAATTATAGTCATAAGTGGGAAGAGGTAAGTACTAGGAAGGATGAGAGGAATAATATGTGGATTTCTTTACACTATCCCTTCAGTGGAAATGTGTAGTTAGTCCAGGATCTTCTTATATTATTTTTCTTGTAGTTTATAGTACTCTTTGTAACAGTATCCAAATTCCTTTCATTTTTCCATTGAACTTTCTCAGTGTTAATCTTTCTGCACATTTTTTTCTAGCATCTTTTATTGCATGTGCATTAGGAATTCATATAACCATGAATAGAATGAAGAGGTTTTAGGTTTCCAGGCCTAGGGCTGGTTTTTTTTTTTTTTTTTTTTTGAAAAAAAGGTTAAATTTGGGTTATATATGTGCACAACTTTAAATATGAATTGTATGGATTTCTAAAAGGATTTTGTACCTGGAAAAGCTGCAAGATGAAGAAATAAAAGAATTAGGGAGCAAGAGTGCAGTACAAAAAACGCTTTAATGAATTTCTTAGGTTTGAAAAAAAGAAAATGAATAAAAGATGACACCATGCTACTACTTATTCCTGGTATGATAAAAATAAAGACGGCTTTTTATAATGAGAATCATTCTAGGGTCATATAATGAAGCTGGATGGTGCGTTATTCACACAGAAAAAAGTAGAACTGTTGTAATTCTGAGCCCCAATTAATGTACTTCATTTACTTATTTATTGTTTAAATTCTGCCTTAGGGCAGGACTATTTCAGTTACAAGAACATTTTTTCCTTTAAAAAAATGCTTGCTGCCTTTCCAAACACTTTCCCCCAAATTTAAGATATCACAACATAACAGTTACCATATTAATAAATCAAAAGGTTGATGTGTTCTAGATAGAATGCTTGCATACATTTACTCTGAACCTAAGTATTTTTCTCACTGCAAATGAGTCATACAGTCATTCTGAAACTAATTTCCATCTTGCTCCGAAAATAATATTACACATTGTACAGCCTGCTAATTTAAATTTACTGTCTACTCAATAAACTTTGCAACTATGTATTAGGCTTAAAGGTGGAACAATTTTTAAAGAGTTTAATGTTTTGTACAGTATATTTTATTGAACAGACAGATTTGGTGAAGAATCGTTTTTTTTTCTTTCTTTTCTTATTACTATTTTCCTGTGAGCAGTTTGTATGTTACTGTCATTTCTTGCAAAATGATTTCTGTTTTCGGAAGTGTCAAGTAGCACACCCATACTTGGGACAAAAATATATTCATAGGTATCTCTTCATTATCACTGAGATAAAAAGGGCAATGAATTAGAAAGTAGGCAAATACTGTATGTTAGTTCAAAGAAGGAAATAATAGTTTTAATATACTGTATCATCTGCTGCTTCTGTGCTATTAAGAGCATTAGTTACAGATTTTTAGTTAAATTACTGCCTAAAAATTTAACTCTCAAGGTGTTGCTGCAATGTCAGAGTGGGCTTCAAAATTTTTAGCAAAAGGTTTTCTGCCCAGTTCCCGGGTGGGTGTGGCCATGGTGGGCGTAACCTTGTCGGCCTCCTGCACCATGGCAGGGGGGGATATTTTGTCCTCCCAATGCTCTGGAGGCTTTGCTCGAGCCTCCGGGAGGGCGAAAATGGCCTCCCTGGGCTCTGGAGACTCTCTGGAAGCCAGAAACGGCCCCATTTCCAGTCTTCCCAAATTTTCAGGAGGCCCGTTTTTCACCCTCCCCGAGCCTCTGCGCGCACCATACACTTACCTGCATCTAAAATGGGCCATGTGAGGACTCCTGGGAGGGGCGGGGTAGAGTGGTTAGGGCCAGCCAGGAGTGGGATTTGAGGGTTCTCCAAACTGCACATAATCTTAGCTAGGGGCTCTCCTGAACCCCTGCAAACCCCCAACAGCCCTGATTACGCCCCTCTGAATTTCTGCAGCCTGGTTTTGATCGTTGAATCCTCGATTCCATGCTTGGACTAAAACAAAATGTGTTTCTGCTTTCAGGAAACTTGCAAGTCTCTTTGTGAATCTCCTAAGAAGGTATCTTAAAACAGGTTCTATCCCATACAAATGGGGTACAAACAAATGGCAACTTCAAATCTCAACAAATAAATGCTCTGTCTTACATATTGGCAAAAAAAATCAGAAAATAAAATACAAGCTGAATAGTCAAGATCTTGTTGATGACCCAAGCTCTGTAAAGGACCTTGGAATACTCACCTCTAATGATCTAAGTGCTAGAGCCCACTGCAACTACATAGCCAAAAAGGCATTAAGAGTTGTTAACCTAATCCTACGTAGCTTTTTCTCTGGTAATATCACACTACTAATTAGAGCATACAAAACATTTGCTAGACCAATACTCGAATACAGTTCATCAGTCTGGAACCCACATTACGTATCTGATATTAGCACAATTGAGAAAGTCCAGAAATATTTCACAAGAAGAGTTCTCCACTCCTCTACTCGTTGTAGAATACCTTATGCCACCAGACTTGAAATTCTAGAACTAGAAAACCTTGAATTACGCCGTCTTCGGTCTGATTTAAGCATGGTATATAAAATCATACATTGCAATGTCCTACCTGTCAATGAATACTTCAGCTTCAACCATAACAACACAAGAGCACACAATAGATACAAACTCAAAGTTAACTGCACCAAACTTGATTGCAGGAAATACGACTTCAGCAATAGAGTGGTCAATGTCTGGAATACTCTACCCGATTCTGTAGTTTCTTCCCCAAACCCCAAAAACTTTAACCTTAGACTGTCTACTATTGACCTCACCCCTTTCCTAAGAGGTCTGTAGGGGGCGTGCATAAGCGCACCAACGTGCCTACCGTCCCTGTCCTATTGTTTCTCTTATTCTTCTTTTATTTTTCTTATATGTACCCATTTCATGTATTCACAACTATGTATACACTTATACTTATTATCTTGTAAACAATTGGCAAATCAAATAAATAAATAAATAAATAAATAAATAAATAAATAAATAAATAAATAAATAAATAAATAAATAAATAAATAAATACAGCTGAATTGAGTTAGTTGCTCTAGTCCAGTCTTTCACAAAATATAGTATTGCCAAATGTTTTAATATGATTCTTCCATACAGGCTTATCAGCTGATAATGACACAATCTACAAAGCCTATAAGACAATCTAACCATACCTAAATGCAGGTAGTCTTCAACTTATGACCACAATTGAGCCTCAAATTTCTGTGCTAAGAACTTCTGTTGCTGAGACATTTGTTAAGTGAGTGTTTGCATCATTTTACAACCTTTCTTGCCACAGTTGTTAAGTGAATAACTGCAATTGTTATGTTAGTAACATGGTTGTAAAGTGAATCTGCTTCCCCATTGACTTTGCTTCTCAGGTCACAAAAGAGAATCACTTGACCCCAGGGCATTGCAACTGTCATAAATATGAGTGAATTGCCAAGCATTAGAATTTTGATCACATGACCACAGGGATGCTCCAGCGGTTGAAGTGTGAAAAATGGTCATAAGTCATTTTTTTCAGTGCCGTTGTAACTTTGAACGGTCACTAAATGAGCTGTTGTAAGTCGAGGACGACCTGTAATGCTGGTTCCTCAGAGCCAAAATTTAAAACATTCATACCTACTGCTAATGGCCTTCAAACATAATCTATAGATATACCATGAGGAAAAACTAAGACCATATGTATTTGTTAAGCATAAACAATTAAATAAAAACAAACATGATTAATAAAAATACTGAAAATGGTGAAGTATCCCACATTCTTGCAAACCATAATTGTGTTGATAAGAGTGGTTTAGATTTGGAATAGACTAAATTGCTCATATAAATGAGGGACCCTCAGTAGTAGTGAGATTCAAATTTGTTTACTACCGGTTCTGTGGGTGTGGCTTGGTGGGCGTGGCAGGGGAAGGATACTGTAAAATCTCCAGTCAGGGGTGGTATTTGTTGGTTCTCCGAACTACTCAACATTTCTGCTACCAGTTCTCCAGAATTGGCCAGAACCTGCTGAATACCACCTCTGACCCTCAGGCAAAATTATGTATGTATGTAATGTATGCATTCCTTCATGTAGCACAATAGCATTGCTATCAAGAATAAAGCTCAGTTAAAATATCAGTAATGCAGTAAAACTAACTTGTTTTCCTCTTTTTCATACCTTTGGAAGCTTTCTTTCTCTTATCCAGCCTTTGTTGGTGGGAAGCCGGTTGGGAAGACTCCCAAGGAAGTGCAACTGTCATAAATACATGCCTGTTGACAAGTACCTGAATTTTGATCACATGACCATGGGGATGTTGCAATGGTCATAAATGTTAAAACCATCAGTCACTTTTCAGTGCCATTGTAACTTTAAACAGTCACTGAATGAATGGTTGTAAGTTCACTTGTATTTGAAGGATCACCTCTCCCCGGCTACATCTACCTAGCTCATCAGAATGGGAATGCAGGATATGTTACTGTTCCCATCTATTAAGGACGTACAACTGATGGGACCCTTTGGAATATCACTCCTATGGAAATAAAGTTGGCCTGCTCCTTACTACTATTCTGGAAGTCCTTGAAAACATGGTTTCATCAGTGGCCTAGAGACTCCAGGTTGATTCAAAGCCAACCAAGCATCACTGCCATGAAAGGATGGGGAGGCCTCTGGAGTTTCTATAGTGTTGATTTTTAATGTTGTACGCCACTGGGAGTCATTGTGTGTGAGTTGGGTATATGAATCTCTACTGTCACAGCTCCTGGGCAAGATGGTATCTTGTATACCCATCGTCCCATGGGCTCGACTAGAGTGGTTCCTCCTACCCTATTAGAGGTCAGGCAGGAGCCATTCATTGATCAAGGTCCTGATCCCTCTTCTGGTTATCTGAACCTTCCAGTGGTGGCAGTCCCAAGCCATCAGCAGGGGACAACTTTTCAAGGAGCCGAGCCACATAGTTATTACCACCGATGCCAGCCTTTATGGTTGGGGAGCGCATCTACAATCAGAGATGGCACAAGGCCATATAAATCTTAAATAAATAAATAAATAGAATCATGTATTTTGTGCAGTTGACATAAGCTGGTGAATTTAAATGGACGCAGGTTTGTGTTTGTGTGAGTTGCTTGATACAAGATTCAATTAACAGCGTGTGTATGTGTGGTTGCCAGTCTTTTTTATTTTTCACCTTTGTTCATTGCAACACTTCTTACTGTTTCACAATTTCCAGAGTTGTACAGAGAGCAGTGGGGGGGAAGGAACGGGCATCAGTGGTCTGACTGGTTTTTACACCTTTTCGAGGGTGTGATAAACGTGATGTCTGTAAAAAAAAAAAAAGAGCAATGTTTGTTTCTATCAGATTGAATGCCAGCTAACCCACTGATCAGGGTAAACACACGATACTGTTCTATTTGTATGAGTTATTAAATTTCAAGGTTAATAACAGCAAATGCAAACTTTTATTTACTAGAAAATCTGTTTCTTAATCTAAACTGATATAAAGTACTACTAATACTACTTGAGCTTCCCAAATATATGTTGATCCCTGACCTAAGAGAATAATAGACGTGGAAGGGACCTTTGAGGTCTTCTAGTCCAACTCCCTGCTCAAGCTTGAAACCCTACACCATTTTAGACAAATGGTTGTCCAATCTCTTCTAAAAACCCTCCAGTGTTGGAGCATGCAATCTTCTGGAAGCAAGTGGTTCCACTGACTAATTGTTCTGTCAGGAAATTTCTCCTTAGTTCTAGTTTGCCTCTCTTCTTGATTAGTTTCCATCCATTGCTTCTTGTTCTGCCTTCAGGTGCTTTGGAGAATAGGTTGATCCCTCTCTTCTTTGTGGCAGTACCTTAGATAATGGAACACTAGTCACCCCTAATCCTTCTTTTCATTAAACTATTCCCAATCTGCCTAGTTTGGCCCAACAAAAGAAACACAACATTGTTTAGAATTTGTGGTAAGCCTTCATTGCCAATAATTAATTTCCCTATTTATACTCTTCTCTGGATTTTTGAATTATTGGACACATCTATCTGAAAATGACATTCAAAAGTTCAATTTAAGAATTTTATAGTTTTTGTGTGTCATATATAGACAGAAATGAATACAATTGATTGCTAAAAGTCTGTGTATCTTTTCTCGATGTCTTATATGTGTGTATAAGACCGGCCCTTTTCATATTTTAAAGGCCAACAGGATAGAGCCATAATGACCAAGCCCTATTTTTGGAAACTGATTATTTGATAAGATTAAATTCACAGTATCATGTTTTTGATGTCTAACCTGACCCCATTTTTGATGATAATGAAAAATCCTGAAAATGATAAAGGCGTCAACAGATTTGCACTTCTCCTATTTTCCAATGTAGGTCAGCTACTTGGGCTACTAAAACTGATTCCGAAGCTTAATTATGATAATCCAACTGCTCACATTTATTTTTTCCCAGAATGAAAGGTATGGCTATATCCCATATAGTGGAATTGTTTTTGGCTTCTTTATTGATTGCTGTGAGGATATATCATCTCTCGAAGAAATATAACCTAAATTGAATTTTTGCTGTCTCCAACCAAAATCTAGCAATTAAAAAAAAAACCTAATAGGTTAAAAACAAGGGAAATACAGTAGCCTTCATATCTGCAAACAGTTTGTCTACTTCAGTAGGCAAGACTATATATTTAGTTTGGGCTGAACTGTGGAGTCCTTAGTGCTTTTTGAGCATAGTTGGGTAGCTCACATTCATGTACTTAACACGTATAGAAGAAATAGTTAACTCACGGAAATTTGAATAAGTCTGCTTCTCTTGGCCATATTTTCAAAAGAACCATCTTGATCAGCAGAAGCTATTTTCAGCTTTGGAGGTGTTACAACCTTTTTCAAGTAATTCAGAAAAATCAAGAATTATGTGAAAAGCTGCAATAGTTTATAAAGGAATATGAACAAAGAAAAAGAATCTATTAACTGGTGTCTTGAAATCACCTTTATAAGAGGCTTTTCAATGTTTACCCCATTCAAAATTACAACCATCAGTAGTGTGCTTGTTTCAAATGTGTCTGGGAAAAGATTTATAGTGTGTTGGGTTTTTTTTATACAAACCAAACATTCATATTACTATCCTTATCCGGAGGTAAAGTGTTTACTTTGACTTAACAGTTTTCCATGCAGTTTTCTTCTTTTGCTTTTAAATGACTTGTCACATTTATATAGTTTTTAAAAAATCAGTTACATATGGACCTAAACTCTCTCCCCGCCCCTATTCTCTGCTCAACAATATCAAATGCCCAAGTGTCTGTCATAAATATGGATCTTTTTGAAAAAAATAAAACCCTGGAGAATCTTCTGCAAACACAAAACAGATGATGGTCTATAACTCCTTAGAAGCTGCAGATCTCAGATTGTACAAAACAATTTGCCTATCATCTAGAAAGTTTAATTTCCTGTATTCTTACATCATGGATGTTCAAGATGCTACAAACAGTGTAGGGTTTTTTCTTTTGCTTTTCTTTTCTATAAAACCATCAATTATACTGTCATTAGTGGAAAGAATGTACAAATGCTTGTTCTGTTTTGTTGTTTATTTACAGCATTTTACAATTACCATATTTGCAACTTAATCATGTGTTTTCTTTTTTTTTCATGAGCAAGTTTAATTCATTCTATTTGAAATCACCCAACTCTGAGTTTGTCTCATTCCCCCAAAGGTATGCTGAGTTCGAGCTACTATGTATTTTGTCAGTGACTAACTACCAGGAAATTCAGGTATTAGGGTTGTAGTCTAAACTAGGAAGTCAGAAAACGACTACATCCAAGACAGCTTTGTCCATGTACTCAGAAAGAGTTTAACTTGATTACAGGAAGTTTTTTTTTAAATCTTTTATGGCTTTCTGCTAGTGAAGCTATGTTTTAATGGGATTATATTGCACTGAGGTTAGATATCTAAGCCAAGATGCATGCAGGAAGATTTTTAGGCCACAGAACTATATCCATCCAATATTTGCCCATTACATAAAGAATAGTCTTTTGCTGCAAAACTTAAATGGTAATTTTGCTGTGCTTAATAAAACAGCATTTATTACTTTTAAAGAGCTAGGAAGCAATTTTATTCTGATCTTTATTTTAAGCCACTGTGCTCCCTTAATTATTCATTTTAAACTATTAATCATATCAGAGGTTCACAACATATTGCTCTAAAAACTTTGATGCAGTTTGCAAAAGTCCTTTAAAAAGTATCAACAAATTGTAACCCATCTATTCATCAGAATGTCAGGGCTCCAACAAATCCACCTCCATTCAAATCAAAAGTCTCTAGCCGCATCTCAGAGAAAAGAAAATTGATTTATTAGAAGTTGCCATGCTGGCGCATGGCTGACTGCAGCTGATACTAAATTACATCATACATTTCCCCCTTGACCCTGGTCTTCCCCCCACCCCCTGGATGTGACTTCTCCAATGGGACACATCCATCTCCAAGAGCCATCCATCATGCTCTCCAAGAAACCTCTTACACTCCAACAACCTTCTTACGATCCAACAACTTTGGGCTGCCGGGGTGATTATCTAGGCATTTAAGGAATGCCTTGTTTTCCCCCACTCCCTTTTTCCAGCAGCTAAAAAGACCAAAGGAGTATCTTTTTAGTTGACAGAGAATTTGTTAAAGCCCATTATCAGATTTTATCCTCTCTCTCAAATGATGCTAATAGTGGTGGTAATCAGTATTAAGGAATGCAATTAAGATGGCTCCATCAGTACTTGTGGCAGACCAAAGACCAAGCCACCATATGTGGCTTACAGTCCAGCCTTCTCCGTACATGCTTCACAATTATGCAGCACAATTTGTGGGCCATAAACATCCTTTTTAAAAATATTGAATATAGTTCCTAGACTCCTTGAATTATGACAGCATGAAGAATACTGTATTGCCAAACTGAGATGGCAAGTCTCCCTCTTGAAGGGACAAGAGTTAGATAAACCAAAACTGAGTCCAAAGCAGAACTGTAATTTGAGAAAATGTCTCAGACACGATTCTCCTTTGTCTTAGTTGTGGCTCTTTTTCTAATCCTCAAAGTTACTGTTACAACCCGTCTTCTTTAACCAATTGCTTTTCCCCTGCAGCTATTGCCTGATAATTTTTTTAAAATATAATTTTATTGTTATTTATAAAAACAAGAGTGAAAATTAATACATTAAAGTAAATAAGTTTAAAAGTAACAAAGAAAATAAATGAATAAAAGAACTAAAGTGCAAAAAGAAATGAAAGGTGAAAGGAAAAAAGCAAAGAAGATATAAAGAAGTGGATTCTACAAGTAGAATTATATATTTACCTCTTTCTCTAAAGTTATGTTGTGATTCTCTTTCTTTAATTTATTCTATCTAATCAGCAAAACCACAGATCATATGATCCTTTTTTCTGTTTTACATAAGGGATTTTTCAGTCAAAAATAAGCATGGATATTATCTTTTCTCTAATTAAACAGGTCAATTTGGCCAACTCTTGTCCTTTAGGACAAAATTAAACTTATGCTATTGATTTACTCATGTATGATGGACATGGCCTAACCCACTAGGGCTAAATGCTGGGGATTCACCCAAAGGCCTTGGGATAATTCATAGGCTAAATAGAGGTTAAAGAAGGTTATATTTTTTGCAACTAACATGCAGTGGTTCTGATCTACATTACAGAATAACAGAGTTGGAAGGGACCTTGGAGATCTTCTAGTTCAACTCCCTACTTAGGCAGGAAACCCTACACCACTTCAGACAAATGGTTATCCAACATCTTTTTAAAAACTTCCAGTGTTGGAGCATTTTCAACTTCTGGAGGCAAGTTGTTCCACTGATTAATGGTTCTAACTGTCAGGAAATTTCTCCTTAGTTCCAAGTTGCTTCTCTCCTTGATTAGTTTCCACCCATTGCTTCTTGTCCTGCCCTCAGATGCTTTGTGTTGTGTCCAGCGCGAAAGGAGACTCGGGAACCAGTGACTCAGTTCAGCTCATTTATTAGTCCCGAGATCGGCTCGGGTTCCGAAAGGAAAGCGGCAGCTTTTATTCTCTAGCCGCGGCGGCCACGGCCAATGGCACCACTTTGAATCTCCTGCGATTAGTTTCTACCAATCGCGGGGGTTTGCGGCGGGCCAATCCGTGCGGCTCGCTCAGTCAATCAGCTCGCCGCGCGTCTTAGCCAATCGCGGTGCGGGTCTGCAAGAATGGTAATGACCGTACAGAACACCCCTCCCCTCTTGGTAGGGTCCTACGTAACATAGTCCCGTAAGTAGGCGGGGCTTCGTACTTGTCTACTTGACCTGCGCAGGTTAGTTGGTGCTTGGTTCTCGGCCGGTTCGGTCGGGTTCCGTGTTGCTCCTCGTCCTGTCGATGGAACCATCTGGAAGTCTGAGCCGGGCCTTTTGTCGCAGCTCCCTCCCAGTCTACCCGGGCTGGTCGAGTTGCGGTTGCCGCTCCCGCCTGGTCTTTCCGGGCTGGTCGAGCTGGCCTGGCTGCTTCTTCCTGGTGAGGTGTCGAGTTGGCTGCTTGCCGGTGAGTATTCCTGGTTTCTTTCTGATGGTGTTTGGTTTATTGGGCCTTCCCTCCCCTCTTGGTTTGTGTTGGGGGGGTTCCCTTCTGTGTTTGTTTCTGCTTGCGTGTCGGTTGTATTTCTCGTGGCTATTCTTGACCTTAGTTGGTCGATGTGTCGCTTCCATGCTCGTCCATCGGTTGTCTGTAGGCGGTACGAACGGGGACCTGTCACTTGGGTTATGGTTGCTGGTACCCAGAGTGGGTCTCCGGTGAGGTTTTTTGCATATACCGTGTCGCCTGTTTTAAAGGTTCGGTCTCTGCTTGAGGAGTTTGGGGGCTTTTCCGGGTTGTATGTGGGGTGCAGTCTGTCGAGTGGGGATCTTAACTTCCTCCACATCAATAGTTCTGCCAGGCTTTTATTTGTTGTCGTATTCGGGGTTATGTGTTGTATAAAGAGCATTTTGTTTATTTTTTCTTGGATTTCCCCGTTCTCTATTTTTTGGATGGTTTTTTTCGTGAATTGAACCATCCGTTCCGCCCTCCCGTTCGCCGCCGGATGTACCGGCGCTGTCAACGCGTGTCGTATCCCCCGTTCCGCTAGGAATTTTTTGAATTCCAGCGAGGTAAATTGAGGCCCGTTGTCGGATACGAGGACATCTGGGAGGCTGTGGGTTGCAAATAGTTTGCTGAGTTCTTTGGTGACGGCCTCCGTGGTGGTAGTCCTCATGTTGCTTACCTCCAGCCAGTTGGAGTAAGCGTCTACCGTGATGAGGAAGGTGTGTCCTTTTGTGGGCCCGGCAAAATCTATGTGGATCCTGGACCATGGTCCCCTAGGGGTTTCCCATTCCAGGATCGGGGCGGCGGGAGGGCTGAGTCTGGTTTCCTGACATCTGTTACATGCTGCCACCCAGGCTTCAATTTGCTTGTCCATTCCTGGCCACCAGGCGTAACTTCTGGCTAAGGCCTTTGTCCTAACGATGCCCGGGTGCCCCTCATGCAACAATTCCAAGACTTTTCCCTATAATTTTCCTGGAATAACAACTCGGTCCCCCCAAAGTAAACACCCTTTTTGCAACGACAGTTCCATTTGTCGGTTCCGGAATGTCCGGAAAGTCTCGTCGTTGTCTTTCTCGGGCCACCCCTTCTCTACCCAATGCAATACCCGTGCCAGACGTTTGTCTTTATTAGTTTCACGGGCAATGTCTGACGCGGTTATGGGTAGATCGGGCAGAGTCTCTATGCTGAGGGTGGTCGTCGTGGGTGCTGGGTCAGTGTCGAAGTCTGGTAGCGGCGTGCGGCTCAGGGCATCTGCGTGGGAGATCGTCTTTCCGGGTCGGTGTGTGAGCCGGTAACTGTAGGCTG